TTTCCTGAGAAATGTAACACTATGTTTCTTTTTTCTTCTTCTTTTCTTTTTTTTTTTCTTCATTGTCCATTGTCTTCGTACTATCGATTTAATTCAGACCATGTTCCTTTTCCGCGTGTTCTTGAAGAGGAAATTTACAGCAACATAAATTACGTGACTGAGTCAAAAGCCGCAGCAGATCCTGAGATCACGTATCATTAGTCAGTCACCAGGAGCTTAAGTGACAGGGCGCGAATTTTCGTGCAATCAGGATCGATGATGTTGCCGATAAAGACACTTGAATACCGTTTGTATTCATCTTTTGTTCCCACCGTCCTCCACGAAGGTTGTACTAAAATTAAGCGCCGTAAATTTGAAGATTTTAACTCATTGATTTCAAGTTTACAAGGATGTAGGGCCGATTGTTAGAGCAAAGGATGATGGAGGCTCCAAATGACTGCTAAGAAGAGAGCAAAAACCATGCATTCAAACATATTCAAAGATTACGACGGCGTATTTCGCATTTCGAGGTGAGTATACTTTCCGTAATTTCTGAGTTTTATGTTAAAACTATAGTCTGGCCCTAGATTTCTTGAGGCTTTTGAAGTATTGTTTTACCGTACTGCAACACCTTGAGCGGTTTTCCTACTGTGGGAGAGCGCGATGCGATATCAAAAGCGCATTGTTTGGAGTTTAGCTTTGAAATCTCGAAATTAAGATAACCTCGCTATTTCGCCTCAAATTTTTGTTTAGGCTTGTTAGGAGAATAGCCTGAGAGGAGACAGATATATACGACTAACATTAGAAATATAAATACTGGATATAAGCTGACTGAAATGTTTTGTGAATATTGCCGTTGGTTGTTCGTTTGCTTTTAACCGCCAAAAGGTCGCGTGACATGACATTTGACATGACGTGACATTTGATACCAAGTTATAAAATCTTATAGTGTGTTTTGTTTTCATTATGGCCCTGGTCCTCCGGCCAGGCAGTTATGTAAGGTGGTTAGGCCCGCCTTTGACTAACGACTCAGTCAGGTGGTTTTGCCCGCCTGTTACTGGGGGTCATGGATTGGAATAAAACATGTTTTTTGAGTAATTTTGTGATCGGATATCTGAATTGTATACTAGTCAAGCTTTAGTTTCCACACCAAGTTATAAAGTCTAATAGTGTGTTTTGTTTTCATCATGGCCCTGGTCCTCCGGCCAGGCAGTTATGTAAGGTGGTTAGGCCCGCCTTTGACTAACGACTCAGTCAGGTGGTTTTGCCCGCCTGTTACTGGGGGTCATGGATTGGAATAAAACATGTTTTTTGAGTAATTTTGTGATCGGATATCTGAATTGTATACCAGTCAAGCTTTAGTTTCCACACCAAGTTATAAAGTCTAATGGTGTGTTTTGTTTTCATCATGGCCCTGGTCCTCCGGCCAGGCAGTTATGTAAGGTGGTTAGGCCCGCCTTTGACTAACGACTCAGTCAGGTGGTTTTGCCTGCCTGTTACTGGGGGTCATGGATTGGAATAAAACATGTTTTTTGAGTAATTTTGTGATCGGATATCTGAATTGTATACCAGTCAAGCTTTTGTTTCCATACCAAATTATAAAGTCTAATAGTGTGTTTTGTTTTCATCATGGGTCTGGTCCACCGGCCAGGCAGTTATGCAAGGTGGTAATTTTCATGCCCACCTTTGACTAATGACTCAGTCAGGTGGTTTAGCCCGCCTATAGTGTTACTGGGGGTCATGGATTGGAATAACACATGTTTTGAGTTATTTTAATTTGTGATTTGATATCTGAATTGAATATCTGAAGCTGTATTTTGTTTTGTAGAGGAGGAAAAATGTACTTGATTGTTAAGACTCTAGAGAAAAAACCTTTTTACATCTTAAACCTAATATGTGATTATTTTGTGAATGAAATTTAATTTAAGTAGTTTACCTTAACCATGTTGGGTCAAAAGAGCATTATTGTGTTAGTTCAATTAGAAGGAACTCTAAAACACTCGGTCCTATTTTCAACCCTCATGACCGATACAATAAATTAAGAAAACTTTAATATCAACTAAAACAAGTCTTGTTGTTTTTTTTCTCAATTTCATTTGTCACGCAGGTTGCAGCCAAAAGAGGACAATATCTAGAAGAAGCAAAAAAGATGCACTGCCATCTATTTTTATTGTGGGAAAGGCATTACACCATGACTGTAAAAATACTAATAATTGGAGAGGAAGACGTCCTGCTAACTATCTTTCCCGGGTACCACCTTGCAGCTCAAACCTTGAACCTCCTCCGGCTCTGCCCTAAGCACTGATTTGTGATAGGACAGTACGCATCACTCCTAAGCAGTTGGACAGTACACACCATGGCTTGCACACTTGACCTTTCATTTTTACTTATTGTTAGAAGTCTAGCTGCTTATTCAGTGATTAAAAATGTGATTTCCTATATTTTTCATATGCGTAATTTTTTTGCCTAATACTATAAATTGATGTAATATTACTTTTCTGTTAATGTTTTATTACCCCTATGGGAAGTGCAATTTTACACTTGCCAAGATGTAAACCATTCACAGTTACACTGTTTGGTGTGTAAATGAACCTTCTGGTTGCGTGTCAAATTACACTATTGGACAATGTGTAATAATACACACAAAAAAAAGGCTGCCGGGGCTGGCAAAGCTACTACACTATCATTTGGTGTAATAGTACTGTTCTATTAGTATTTTATTACACTTATAAGAACGGCAATTTTACACTTGACCAAAGTGTAAACCACTCACATTATTCTGATTGGTGTGTAAATATAACCTCTAGTTGGGTGTTAAATTACACTATTATAAAATGTGTAATAATACACAGAAAAAAAAGGCTGCCGGGGCTGGCAAAGCTACTACACTATCATTCGGTGTAATATTACTGTTCTATTAGTATTTTATTACACTTATAAGAACTGCAATTTTACACTTGACCAAAGTGTAAACCACTCACATTACACTGATTGGTGTGTAAACATAACCTCTAGTTGTGTGTTAAATTACACTATTATAAAATGTGTAATAATACACAGAAAAAAAAGGCTGCCGGGGCTGGCAAAGATTTTACACTTTTTTTTGGAGTAATGTTACACTTTAATTTTAAGTGTGTTTTTAGTTTCAACGTACAGGCTCTAGAGGAGTTCATGTCTTGAACTCGGTGAATAGGACTGCTGGCCCTTTTATATTACAGGTGAAGTAGTATTTACTCAGTTACCATAAACTGTTTCTTTTTTCCTTAGAACTTGTTTGGAAAAACTGTGAGAAACGGAGCGTGGAGTGAGGCGGGATCCGGGCGGGATGGGATGAGAGGATCATTGGGACGAATCTATACTGTAAAAAAAAGGATCAAAGAAGAATGGAAGTCAGGGACTATCTACATGTTGATCTATGGCCATTGATGGCCGTCTTACAGACTGAAATCAAACAAGCTTCTCATATTATGAAATCAAATGTACGTACAGTTCGAATAATAAAAAAATAATGCGTAACGTTTCACGTTTGCTTTATTGATTTAAGACACTACAAGCGATACTACACAATAGCTGAGCGTTTTTTACTCACTTTTTAACTTTACGAAAGCCTTTTTCTTGTATAAAATAGGGATGGCGAAAGAAGCAAAGTTTCTGAAGTTTAGTCTTTAAAGGGGAATCATGGTATTAAATCATCTCCATCAAACCTTTTCGCAATAGAAAATATCTCCACGGCAAGCACCACTCCCTAGAAACGGAAGCGCGCTTTCACCTCCTTCATTGCAACATAAAATGACAAGTGCCGATGTTTTTAACTGGGAAAACCTTTCGTCACCCCCTTCATAATTTACAGCTATACACTATGACTACATTGCGGAATATAGGTCCTCACCAAAAAAAACGGAAAACTTGCACCACTGTCTCTGATACCCTACTCTGCCTACACAAACTTCCGGCCTAGCTTTCTACGAGAACAAACAATTATCACCTTCCGTAACTACGCGGTATCAGTTTCAAATCGATGCGATATTAGTATGACCGTAAACCAATGTTACACATTTTGATGCATATATGAACATCATAATCATTACTGCCACGCAAAAATAACGATAAAGGCGATTTTCTAGCGTTTCATCTAAAATAAGAAATATACCATACAGTAAAATCTTTCGGCTAGGACTAAAACGATAATTTTCTTCTCACACGGTAAAGTACGGGCAAACACTATATCAAGGCTCTTATAGCAATAATGCTGCAAAGATATATTTATTGTAGGTATTTGCATGCGCAGCATTAAACTCTAGCGATTGTTGGGACCCATAACAACCGCTCCCCGCTCATGTAGAAAAGTCTCATTCTCTAGTGCACTCACCAAAGCGTCAGCGAGTCACGAAATTTTCTTCTCAATTTTTTTTCTATAAAACATATGTATCAAACAGACACCTCTTTTGAACAAACATCGTGCGAGGGTCCCTTTTAAGCCTTAATATCAAAATTTATAATCTCATTTGTTGTCCCTGTACATTTCAGTCCTATGCATGAAGTGGGGTCAAGAAGTTGTCAAACTGTGTCAAAGAATTCAACTTGTTTCCGCCTTCGTTACTACACTGTTTTCTGACGCTTTGACATTAAAAGGAGAATTTTGTTGCTAATCATCCTCAACGCTTTTAAAAAGGGTTTAGATATAGGTTTGTGTTAAATTGTCATTATTAAAGAGGTATTGCGGTAGAATGGTAAAAAACTGAAAAACATTTAAAAAATATTAATAAACTAAATATCTAATACCTAACGCGAAGTTAACAGCTATATCTTTCAATGCAGTAACATTTCTTTATAAAAATTACTGCAATAACTGAATACTTGAAGCTTGCTTTTGCAGGTTTTCTATTTTGGTTGTATTTTGATTTAAAAAGGCGAGTGTGAAAATCATTTCATGGAGTTTTTACATCCTAGACGTTGTGCTTCCTTACAAAGGAAAATGTTTAGTTGTTTTTATGAATCTCGATCTGAATCATCACAGTATCATCTTTTAAGTACTGTGGGGAGCAAACCAGGGCTATCGGTGCAAACTCTGCGTAGCCATACAGGGTGCTGTATGGCCCGGCGGCAGTGGGTCTCTGAAAAGCTCCCACATTTCTTTTCGCCATGAAAGTGCCACTGATATCGTTGCGGAGGCCATTAACATCACCAGTTTGATCCTTGATGGTGAGAACGATTCGTCCACGGAAGGGCCACTCCAGAATAGTATCGTATTCTCCCTGCATCATACCAACAAAAAGGCCAATGTGCCGTTGATCCCCACCATTAACGCCTTTTGGGAAGATACGCATGAAGAACTTGTATTCTTGTAGGCCAGTGTAAATTGGAGGACTCCCGTGTGATGTTATTATTCCATTGAAAGCATCCTGGATGTGCTGAGAGAAATGCTCTATCTTCCAAGTATATTTTCCACCACAGTTCTGACCAATGCATGACACTGGTTCTTGGGGATATAACCTATGTAAATAATAATCACCTTATCATTATGTCAGTTATTTTTTGAAAACTGTTGAAATTGGTTAGACTGAACATCTTTTTAATCTGTCAAAAAGGATTTCAAACGGTGACAAGTTAACAAACAATGTATATAAAAACATAGAACTGCAGTATAAAGTCAATAAAAAATTAAATGCAGAACATCACAGCAGTAAGAAGGAACCTTTACAACGCAGCCGTAAAATTCAGGCTAGTACGACCTCGAAACCTTGGAGCTCTGCAATACCATGGCCAGTGCAGCGCGCGCAGTCTAACCCTGAATTGAGCTTACAAATTAACCCAAGGGGGCTGGTCTCATTCGGTTCAGTGGTTTGTTGTAAACCCATGGAAGATGAAGATAAAATAATGAATATATCAAAAACATGTAATACAACTCGAAGGATAACTAGGAGTAATTGAGAGGATCATCGAAGCTATAGAAGCAACTCAGTTTGAGAAGAGCAAAATGTTCCCAGCAGTCTGAACATAATCCGACCATTTCCCTTTTGGTGGACGATAAGTCAGTAAAACAATTCCACCATATTGTCTTCACTGAACAACGTATAGACTTCTTTTCAGTCGCGTTAGTGTGGCTTAGTAGCCTCGAGCGGCCTGGGGCCCCGAATTCAAACAACCTCATCCCCAATCGTCCCAAGGCTTTTCCCTTTGAGGAGGTGAAAGCTCTGGGATGAGGTTAAATGAAAATCTAAAGAACAAGAGCGTGGTTCCTGGCTATCAAAGGAAACCAGTCTCTTTCTTAAATGTAAACAACAACAACTTTCCGGGTATGTTAATCATGACGTGACTGTCGATAAACGGACCGACCCTCCCCTCTCTGTAGTTCAGTTTATTAGATTACATGATACCTAGTTTGTAGGAGTACTCCTTGCCATATATCACTGCTTCTTCGTAGTAACAGAATCAGATTGTTCGGACGCTATTTGCACCGTTAGTATACTAACCTGCTTCCTGTTATTTGCCTTGGGAGAGAAAATGCACGCATGTGTTCATCTTCTTGGGCCTGCCCATGAAATTGGTTTGTCTCCTCGACAGAGTACCTAGTTCCATCCTGACAGCCAGGGGGTCTGGTCCTCTCGTTGATCTGCGGTCTCACTCCTCTGTCCAGCTGACGATGTGGTCGCATCTCATAAGCGTCATACTGCATGCGGTAAACCTCCACAGACAGCTCCATTAGTCGACGAGGATATCTTGAATCAGAAGATGGGAAAGATGGGGGAGAGTCAGTAAAAGAAAATTAGAGTGTATAATATAGATTCTGATATTATTATTGTTCATAGACAGCTGCCTACTTGTAAACAGGTTTACCTTCTATATTTTCCTTATGTTTGATAACGATTTTATCAGTTAAGTCTTTTCATTGCCCGGACTTGAAAACCGCAGACGTGACTGCAGGCCTGAACAAGTTCTGTATCAGACGGAACTCGCAGTGTGTGCAAATACTTCCTTCTTTCAGAGCTCCTTCAGCCCCACATAGATTGTTCCAAGTTCTAGTTTTATAAGTGTTCTACTTCTTTTTATGATACAATCCTGGTGATATTAGAACTTGGGTTAATTGAAGGAATAACGTTGACATGTTGTGCTCGACCTCCTTTTCCCTGTTCCTTTCAATGTTGACCTCGAACATGGACATTACTTCCACCGAAAACCCATTACAAAACAACATTGGAAGAGAGGAAGACAGGTATCAGAACAGGGCCACCCACGTTGAAAGTCGAAGTCCTTGATTATTGGTCCCCAGGTTCTTTCATTTTATCCTGGTTTCAGAAACTGCTTGCCTTTTGATTGGCTGAGAGATTGTTGTGACTGCGAAAAAGCACGATAACTAAGTCACAACAATCTCTCAGCAAAGGGTTGGACTTGCGGACGAGGGAAATCACCCTAATGACGTAATGGGCCATTTGCACGATGACATCATTTTACTACTACGACCAGAATCCTTCAGGGTTTTGCTTTCTTGTGCTACTTAGGGCTTCTGTTATTCAAACCTCATGGGATTACAAAATTTAAATATGAAAGGAAAAACGAAAAAGATTCTGGTCATAGTAATAAAATGACGTCATCGTGCAAACGGCCTATACAAAAGACTGAACAGTACTCACAAAAAAAACAATAGCTGACAAACAATAACCTATTCCACGAACGATAAATATACAACCCTCAGAGTCGCAGCTCCAAAACGTAGGATTATACGTGAGAAAAAAATCAAAATCTTTCTCATATCATTGTCACATATGCGCGAGTCCCTCGCCATTTCAGCGCCCTTAAGAACTCAAAGCCTATCGACTGTTCATGAACGTCAGAATATTTACTGGTCTACTGAGAGAGGGAAGTGCTCGGACACGAATGCGTATTACAAAAGGGCGAAAATGGTGAAGAGTCGGTCCACACCGTACATATACACGGCATGGCGACAAAAGTTGCGTGACCTGCCTATCCTAACAATAGCGTAAGTACATTAACGCTCTCTGATTGGTGGCAGCAGGGAATCAAATGCATGATTCAGAGGTCCACCGGTTCTTTTTGGAGTAAAAATGTAATTTTACATTGTAAAATACTGTTTAAGGGAGAGCTGAAGAGAAAAGAAATTCGTCGTTGTTACTTTGTACCAAAACTTTTAAGTCAGCTGCTTTTAAAAGTCCACAACAGATACGATTTACAAGTCAACTGAGCGTAACCAGCCTTGGAACTGACCTTAACAGATCAAAGGTTTCTGATTGGTTCAAATGTACATAAATTAAAGCATTTACAAATGCAAACCCGAAGACAAAGAAGACAAACGACTCATTTACTCTTTTCTACGAGAAACTGAAGCGGGTTCCACAGCAGTTCTAACCTGAGATCAGGCTCAATTTTCGTTTCGCTTTGTGCCGTTAGAGAGAATGTTTGAGAACCGGTAAAATTGGGCCTGATCTCAGGTTACAGCAGTTCCACATCGAGATTGACACTACCTCCGGCATTGATTTGCACTTCACAAAAACAAGCAGTAAATAAATCTTGGACTTGGCATGCGAAAAGATTCAGTGGACGACGATCGCTCCTATCAAAGCATTATTTGATTTTTGCTGCGAGGTAAGTCGCGTGACCGTCATTTTCCCGAGTCATTTCTACAGCCCCCTCCTCCCCCCTGCATTTCTACTTCCGGACCGGTCGATACAAATTTGAGACCAAAAAAGCCTTCTGGTTGGCAAGACTGGATTCTACAAATGCGAAAACTTATGAACATCGTCAGCAAATGGACAGGTTTGCTTTGACTTAAAATTCAGTTTTAGCAGGTGTTTAGAGCAGGTAGACTCAAGAACTAAAGATTCGTAATCACTTGCATCTGATCGGGAAAAGCTGAGAAAAGTCGGCACAGAATCGCTTTTTTCAATTCTTCAATCATGAAAAGCACTTAAGGTGAGACCCGCGGTTCGCTGAAAATTTTGATTTCACCGTGAACTAGTGAGTGCTAAGAAGTACTTATATGCAAAGCTTTAATAATATAGTCCTAAAACAGATATAGCTTCTTCAGAATACCCGGCCACTTCCCGGAACGCTTTAAAAAACGAGGTATAACACTACTTTCTTTCCGCGTTATTCACCAAGATGTTCAGTTGCCAGGTATTATAAGAGAAGTTTAAGGGGTCATCTTTTCAAGGACTTAGTTCTCTGTTGGCATCCTGTCTGTATTTTCTTTTGTTTACCATCTGTATTCATCATACACATGAAGTAAATAAGGAAGAGAGTATTTGTGTCGTTAAGAATTGACTTGTGTCCTATTTATAGATAATATTGAGCACCTTAAGCTCTATTCAAGAAATACTTCAAATTTGCATGCTTCTTTCCTTTTGAATGAGTCACAGAATGTCTTAAAACTGGTTTGAAACTGAAAATGGCATACTAGTTTGTGATAACAAAGCCTGACGAAGTCAATAGGTTTTAAAATTCATCCGCTATATTAGCATATCAATTGTTTCACAAACCGCAAAACATAACAAAGTTAAATTTGAATCGAAATAAAGTCTTGTAACTGTGCCAAAATACACACCGACTTACCGTCTCGATTTTCGCTACAAGAATTGAGTTCATGAGATATTCAGCCACTATTTGTTTAATGATTGTGTCCGTATGTACAAACACATGTTATTACATATTTTTTGTATTCATGATAAAAACTCTTCATGGTCAAAATGTGAAATTCATACTCACGTTTACAAGCCTCTGTTATCAGGGGCAACATGGAGAGTGACTCCTTAGTTACCTTTCTTGTGATCCTCCTCCCTCCCCCAAATTTTGTCCAATTCAAATATGGTGTCATAGTTCTCATTATATTTACGGTCAAACCCTGTTAATACAGACACTGAGGGGGCCATAGAAAGTGTCCGTTTTAATGGGGTGTCCGTATTTAAGCGCGTTGAATTTAGAGTAAATATAAGGGCTTTCTTCCTCTAAGGACAGAGCAAACTGTAATGTGCCATTCAAAACCGAAAAGTCACTATAGTGAGTACGGTTACAGTCTATTGTAACTAGACTGCAAAACAGTCCGTATTTTTGCGTATTCAAGTACGCGCGAGCAGTCAAACGAGGCTGGGCTAAAAATGCGGACTGTCCGTTTTGCATACGTTATATTCGTTCGAATTTTACCCGCTTCTACCAGCCACGGGCAATTCCCATTGGCTAAATTTCGATGCAAGCTGTCACCAAGCTGTCAAGTAATGTTTTCAACAAGTCATTCACGTTGTTCCATACCGTGATGAATTGCTAAAGCTTTCGCTGTAAAATGACAGATGTTGATCGCCTGGATTTGTTCGCAAGAATTGGGATTTGTTTTAAAATCGGAGCAGAGGGAAGCTTTGGAGTTGCTACTCAGAGGAAAGGATGTTTTCTGTGTTCTACCAACAGGATTTGACAAAAGCCTTATTTATCGGATGTTTGTTCATGCAAAGAGTTCTTCACGTTCCGTGCAACGGCCGATCTCGCCTGGCTAAGGGACGGACCATTAGAAAAGTTATGGGGGGGGGGGGGAATTTTCGACCTGCAGGAATTTTTTTTCGTTACCAAATTCCTTGTATGAATTTTTTTCAGGCCCTTGCATGAATATTTCTTAGGCGTTAATTGGCTTGCAAGAATTTTTTTTCATTTAATTTTCCCTTGCGCGAATTTTTTTTTTGTACTTCGCCCGCCCCCCCCCATAAGTTTTCTAATGGTCCGTCCCTAAAAAAGGGGGATCGGTAGGAAACACACGACTTTTACCTCATGCAAACATGCCGCTTGTTCCTATGAATTGTTTTCTCTGTCGAGTAGATTATGCTTTGGAGGAAAACGTTTTGACTGAGCAAATGTGAATTTTGGCCGCTTATTAAATATATTTAATACTGAGAGGTCGTGACACGCATATTGATTTTCTCTGGTAGGCATGATTTGCCCTCTGACGCAAGGGCATTTTCTTTCTTCGCCCCTTTAGAAATGTAAAGCTCTTCAGTGCGGCTGGTTAAGGGTTTTAGGTTGTTTTATTTCTCCAAAGAGCCTCCTGGATTTGAATAATTTTAAGCGAATTTCTTTGTGTCCGTGAATGTGACTTTTTCCTGCAATGTTTTGTCACGCTGGGCCCAGCTCGTTAGCGTTTTTGGCAGGATTTTAAATTCTCGCAGATAGTAATTTACAGAGCTAAATCACCAAGACGTGGTTTGGAACGAGGGGATTTACCCCGGGGATTTACTCATTCTTTTCAATCGCAATAATTGTTCATTGTCAGTTGGCGTGTTCAGTTCTTCTCTAATTTGCGAAAGCATCGCCGTGCAGTTTCCCGGGGCAGTTTCTAACTGTTGTTCCGCACGGAGAGCAAACTGCTCTTGTGGAGAAAGATTCTCCTTCCTCGAGGACAACGAAAAGTTCGTTTTTCAGTAGGTTGGCCCACTTTGGTAACGTTTCCCCTTTTCTGGTAGGCGCAACAAACGCATTTTCCGAGCTTATTCATCCATTCGTAAAATTGCCGAAATGTGTTTTGAAACAACAGCCGCACATTCTACAATTTGTCCAAAGCCCTCGGCTTTTTCGGCTTCCTCCCTCTTCGAGGAGCAGGCACAGGCTTTGTTGTCGTAATGCCACTTTCACTCATTCTTGATCCTCCACTACATATACTACATTTCACTATATACACTACATTTCACAGGAAAGCAACGCTAAAAACTGCTTTACCAAAAATAACACGCGAGTCTATCAAATTCACAAAGAGGGCGGAGTTGCGAACAGATTTTTGACAGCTCGACGACATTTTTGAACACCCTGGTAGGAACGAACTCATTGTATGGAAAACGGACAGTCGGTTTTTTTTTTCTCGCGCCTCACAAGCCCTACGGACGTGTGCGGCTCGCGCGCTTCGCGCGCATAAGACTCTTACGCCACGCTTTACTGATTTCTTTACTGATTTTGCGAAAAAAACCGACTGTTTTGCAGTCTAATTGTAACAGAATCGGTAACCTTTCTCTTGGTAATCGAGACAAAATTTGAAAAAAAAAATAATATTTTTAAAAAAATGTAACCGGCTTGTAAGTTATTTTAACTTTTTAGCAGGGTGTTTTACCGTTAAATGCATGAGCCAAAGTAAGTTAGTATATGTGATGTAATTGTAGATAGTCTTATTGTGAAAACTTTGTTCTTAATTTATAACTTGTACCTTAAACATTTATCCTGAAAAGCTCTTTTCTGAGGAAGCACAATAACGTGTTGGTGTGGTCGTTTATTCACGCCACGGCCATTAATTGAACACCTTGTAAAAGTCTGATACATGTTTTATACCTACCGAGTGCAAATCGTTGCTTCAGCAACCCTGTGTGGACTGGCCATTACCAATCAGTGCCTACGATGTCTTTCAGTCTTGTAACTACGTATAAATTATGATGTCCTATATTATACTCAACTGTTGGATTTGTGCACTTGAACAAAGCAAACGAATAATTCAGTGCATGTGTACGTTCTTCTCGAGAGGATAGATGATGTTTATGGTAATTTGAGCTGGGTAAATGCGTAGTGGCTAACATACATTCGCGGTATGTAATCGACTGATGAGACCACGTGGTCAAGCGTTTTATTTTTTATTTGTATGAGTGCTGTGGTCACGCTTTAAGGCTTTGCCATTCGTAAGTCACAATAGGCCCACAGTACGAGGAGTTTAAAGACCGTCCTTTCAATTTCAATTTCGTCAACAAACCTTCCCGGCGGAGTCTTTTGTTCATTTTCCCGCCATTACTCAGACCGTAACTTCCTTTAATTATTTAATACTCGAGGTTCATCCAAGCTTGAAAATAATTCATGAGCAAGAGCATTGTTTGCATTCCAGTTTTGCCTGAGAGTCTAAAATTAACAACTCCATGCATGTATGCGGATGACACACAAATCTTCGCTTCCTCTCACGATGCAAACAAACTTATCGTGAAGCTTAATTCCGATTTCGCTCAAGTCGGGAAGTGTCTCATAACACTTCCTAAACCGAAATGAGAGTTTCTAAAAAGAAGTTTTAAATTTATCGGTGCTATGCTTTGGAACCAGCCCCCGAATGGAGTCGAGCAAAGCTCGTTGAGTCAATCTCTTCATTGAAAAGCCTTACGTATTAGATTATAGATGGGTATAAAATAATGCTAGCAGAATCTATCAAAGCCTATTTCCAGGCGCAGCGGCCCTGATGTAGCTTATTCAAGAGTGAACTAAAAAACAAGAATAGCTAAATTATGACTAAAACTGAAAGGAAGAGATGCAAGAACACGCGAAACATATTGCTCCCATAGAAGTTATCTACTTTGGGAGGAGTGTATATCTGTTTATATTCGATCCTGAAACCATTTCGAGAAACAGGCCAAAGTACGTAGCAGCCTTCCCAACAATTTTGACGATGATTGTAGATACCGGCTTGCGGGCGACTGATTCATGAGCGTGACTTGTTTCCAATTGAATGACGTCAACAGATCGAAGCTTTTTGATTGGCTATAAATTTACATAATTTTAAAGAACTTCCTATGCAAGGGCTTATAGTGTTCATCAACAATTGATCTAAACAGTTTCAGTTTGGTGTTGTTAAAATGCAGGTTAGAGTAAATGGACTTCCAGATTGGGAAATACATGAAAGTAGACAAACGAATCAATTATTTTCGACGAAATATTGAAGCGGGTTTCATGCAGAGTTGTTCCAAATCAAGGTCGACTCTACTTCCGGCATTAAGCACAACATGGTTATTAAAGAGCGGACGACGATCATTCCATGCACGAAGGGAATTTTTAAAAGTACACACAGGAGATACCTCGAAATATTGGTACGTGTCTTGTTATCGTAAAGTTAAACCTAGCAGGGAACGTTTGACACTCCTTCTCTCCATCTCTATTTCTAACATTGCATCGTGCGCGCATGTTGGTAGACAAGCCACAACTCGACCTCACAAGTTTCACTTTTACAGCAAAGTGCAAGCGGAGCGAGCTTTTTAGGACGAAGGACTTCTTCGAAAATCTAGCATGTTGCCTGTATGCAAGTGATGAAGCATGTTAGGCGGGGAAAACCGATACACACAAGTCGCCCAAGCATGTAAGCATTGGCTTCACCGAGTTATTTTAACGGAAAAGAAAAATCAAGTTCATACATGGAGACATGTGAGATGAGTCAGGTGTCAAAATACCTTTATTCTACCGATTTGTAGACAGCTTTTGGGAACGATTCGTCATAACTCGCCATGTGAATGATATAGATGTTTTGATAGCCAATTAAATGGGCAGTTTAGAAGATTCTTGAACGTTTGCTCGGTCATTTAACCTGATTAATTTTAATAAATCAGTTAAAACTGCAACAAAAATTTTCCTTTCGCAGGGAGAAAGTTATGCAATTCATTTTATGATTGACCACAGGTATCGTTCAGTAAATGTTATCTAATAACGTGTGAACCGTTTATATGTTAGTATATAATGGTATAGTTTCATAGTGCGGGGGATAACTGAGAATAGTTATAAAGAAAGTTGACTTGAAGCACTTACATTGACCCCTTCCATTGATATAAAATTTAACTATTTCCTCCTCGGTTGAGTTAATGAAAACTTTGAGAGAAATTGGGTTTACTTCTTATTTTTCTAGGTTCATTCACGGCACTTCCTTGCATGTTACTCTGCCAAAATAAAGAATGACTGAAAAACTGAAATAAAGATGACCTTATTTGTCACTTCGGGTAATAATATTATAACATTTTGTACTCTTTGCAATCCTTGCTTATTTTTTCTACTGCATTTAAGCCTCTGATCTCATACAGACAACATATTTTATTAGAAATTAGCCTGATGCCTGAAATCACTTTGTTACAAATTATGGTTAGGGAAGATATCATTTAATTTCAAGTCTATTTAAACTTTATATAAAACTTCATTAATCGTAGTACATATGTTGCTATTACCTGATATTTCTTTTGTTACAAGTCGTTTATAGAAGGATTCTATGAGTTAAAAAACTGACTGATTTTTTCTATTACTTTTAGTATTCATCCATTGTTTTGCTTGCCCATATTATTTCAATTTGAGTGTTTGTGGGCGATCTAGGCTTTATATAGCACTCATTTTATCGTAGTATTTTGCCATTGTTTTGATGAATTGTGCTAACTAACGGGGACATTCAGTTATTTAAAACTAGCACGAAAAGGATCTCACGCCGGCCGGTCAAACAGGAAACGTACACTTTCTTTAGTGTACTGTTATAGATATTATCAAATGGTAGTAGATTTATCCAGTTTTGTCTCATTTTCGTCAACAGTGCCGAGCTGAGTATCAGGCCTTCCTAAGGGGCTAGGGGAGAGGAGTTACAACAGTGAAGGATGTAATAGTGAGCTTTCACAACAGGACGGCAGAAAAATGAGGACGGCAAAACGTCTGTGTGTGCCAGACGTGACAGGGTTATTACTTGCGTGTTTTGTCGTGATCTTCACTCAATGTATATACTGTGCACGTTCGGTCTAGATCTCAGTAGATCTGTTACATAGAAGATCTGTTTCAAGGAAGCTGAAGTTTGGCGGACACTTTTTTCCAAATAAAATTATTATCACGGTTTTTCCGTCTTCTTTCCTCTTATTTTCGTACTGAGGGGATCGCAACTGTGTATTTTAAACTACTAAAATCCTTTCCTCTGCTCGCGCTCTGCTTCTGGTCGTATTACTAATAGCTGTTTCCTGACTGGTCCGCATGAACATCTTTGTTTATCAACAATGACAGCAGGCACATGGCAAAAGTTTTCGATGAAGCTGGAAGTTTTTGAATCGATTCTTGGGTGGGCTTGATCAGCGGCATCAGCGAAGTTTTTTATGGCGATTTCGCAGCGTTTGTAGCCGGTCCCAAAGTTTCGTTTTTGTGTTTCTTTCGTTCTCTGAATCTTGAACTTTTTGGTACAAAGTCTTAGTTTTCAAACAAGGCCGAGAATCGGATTCTAGCTTTCGCCGTCTCTTTTGTCAGATGCCGCTGTTTCATTTTTTCATTCACTTTATGTCGTCATAATGTACTTTAGGGTTTATAAAGTGCCTTGCAAAAATGTAGGAAAAACAGATTCAACGAAATATTTTAGCATAGATCAGGGTAATCAATAGACATAGACGCGGTTTTATTAACTTTTGAAATGTACCAGTTTGTGAAAATTCATCGAAACCGCTGGAACTAGGAGAAAGCTTTAAAATCAGCAAAGTTGCTAACTTTGAAAGTGGTTTGTTAACAATAATGAAGATATGGTTCGGCAAAGTCACGAAATTGTGGAGAAAAGTAGCTGCAGCAGGTCTCTTTTTGCCCCAAAAAAGTCAAAACATGCGTGCATTAAAGTTGAAAATAAAAATTCATCTCCCAGAGCACTGAAACATTATTACTGCGAGAGACCAGTCCAATGGCTCCCCTGGACCCCAAACCCTCTGCTTTTCAAATAACATAACTAAGAGCTATCTAAAATCTTTGTGCCACCTGGTATCTAAAGGCTTGCTACGGCCCTGCTTCACTTCCGCCGTGCGGGGGAATCCGAGCGAATTTGAGGAGCTAGAGGTTTGCTCTTTTCCGACAACATTACTCTCGAGACCTGGCAAATTCAAATAAAATTTTTAAGGCGCTCTTTTCAGAACTAGGTCGATGGATCTTTTGTCTATTAAGACAATTCAAGTTTTAAGGGCCCTGTTTAAATTCCGGCAAACAAAGTAAGTCAATATAAATAAAGTTAATATATAGTCCTATACTCCACGCGCTTAAATCTTATCGTCTGCTGAGATTTTAAGCAGAGTCACCTCAGTACTTCTTGTTTTTGCATTTTTAAAAAAGGAAATTCATCAACATTGCAAAGATCTGCGAACTTCGTCACTTTGTATGAACACAAGTTCAGTTTTTAAAGGGTTCACCTACCGATGCCTCTGAGTTCCTGAAGTCCAAGTAGCGGTGCATGGCGTTCTCTCGGTCGTCATCGTAAAACTTCTGCAGCGTAATAATTATAAAATGAATTACATTTAACGAATTAAGGTCCAAACAGTAGGATTTCGAAGTATCGGAGAAATTTATCACACTTCTGCTAAAAAATTTGTAAGGTACTTCGACTTCTCGGCTTGTTAGCTTTCACTCGGCTCCAGCTGCTCTGCCTCTGTACGGCTCTCTTACTGCAGTAACAACCTTTGAATGCAGAGATGATCTCTCTGTCAAGTGATTTATGTGCTGAGTATTTCCGCTTCTTTGCCTTTTCTTTCGGAGTATTTCCGCTTCTTTGCCTTTTCTTTCGGAGTATTTCCGCTTCTTTGCCTTTTCTTTCGGAGTATTTCCGCTTCTTTGCCTTTTCTTTCGATTGGATGAAGCAAACGTTCTTGCCTTCTGATTGGCCCATTGCGCCAATATATGTAATTTTAGTATTGTTTGGTTAGGGTGATGCGTCGTCATATTTCACGCCTGCGACAGTATTTGTATTTGTATTTTTATATTTCGGGAGATTTTGACTTTCGGGTGCCTAAATCCTACTAAAACAATGGGAAGAATGACATGTCATTGTTTCCTGCAACCAATTAGGAGAGACCTTATGAGCAGAACAACAGAATCATCCCCACAAATCCATTTATATACAGACGCAGCGGGTGCAGTCGGATACGGGGCCTTCTTTGACAATCAGTGGTTCCAGGGAAAATGGCTCCCCTCCCACCAGCTCAACCCCTCCACAGGGATAAGTATTACCTGGCAAGAGCTTTACCCAATTTACCTTGCCTGCATGATTTGGGGGCCCCATTGGGCTAACAGGAGAATTTGTTTTCATTGTGACAACCAGGCAGTCGTCGCAGTTTTGTCTGCTAAAAGCTCAAAAATTCCCCGCATCATGAACCTTGTCCGTTTGATCACCTTTCAAACTTTGAAGTTTAATTTTACCTTTACCGCAAAGCACGTCCCAGGGGTCGACAACGGCATAGCTGATAGTTTATCTCGCTTTCAGATGCCCCGGTTCCACCAACTCGCACCAGATGCATCGCCCGTTCCCTGTCCAATCCCTCCTTTCCTGACGAAAGTCTAACTATGCAGGCTGCTCACTACATTTTCCAGTCCATCGCCAGCTCTACTCGTCGAACCTATTCCTCTGGGGAGCGACACTTTATTAGATTTTGCCTTTTTCATAAACTCATTTCACCCCAAACCCCTTTTCTCCCTACCAGTGAATCAACCTTAATTCATTTCGTCACCCACTTATCCAATACCGTTTCGTATGGCACTATTAAAGTTTATCTGGCAGCAGTTAAGAATCTCCATGTTGAGTTTGGCTGTCCCCTGGACTTCTCCTCCATGCCCTTCCTATACAAGACCCTTCGAGGGATCAAATCCTCCCTCGGTATTGCCAAACGGGCCCGGTTCCCTCTTACTATTTCGATCCTCCGCCAAATTTATGCCAAACTAAAACCCTTCCAATCGTTGGACACGGATTCTTCAATGTTGTGGGCTGCTTTTACCCTTGCGTTCTTTGGCTTTCTACGTAGTAGCGAATTCACTTACAACGGCAAGTTCAATATTCAATCCCACCTGACAAGATCGGACGTCCACTTTTACCCCAACATTGTCCAACCTGTGTCTTTCGAGGTTGTCATCAAGAAGTCCAAAACAGACCCTTTCCGTGAGACAGCCAAGCTCACTATCGCCAAATCAAACTCTACTGTATGTGCAGTCACCGCGTTAAGAGACTATCTGCTTCAAACTAATCCCAGTGGAGCTACCCAGCCCCTCTTCCAATTCTCGGATGGACGACATCTTACTCGGTCCTCCCTCACCAACAACTTACGGGCTCTTCTCAAGGTTTGTGGATTGGATAGTACCTGCTATGCATCACACAGTTTCCGCATTGGAGCAGCCACTACTGCGGGGGCTGCTGGCCTTCCAGACTGGCTCATAAAAGTTCTTGGCCGTTGGAAATCTGATGCATATCAGTCGTACATCAGGACACCCAAAGAAACCATTCTCCAAGTCCCTCAAAATTTGGCCTCCTGTCTATCCAGTTAATGACTTGAAAACAATTAGATGTCACATCGCAATGACTATTGTCCACGCTTCCTTGGCTTTGGGAACACTGTTATGCTGCTCTATACTGTTTATCACGAACATTCTTATGTTGTGTAAAAAAAAACAAAAACAAAAACAAAAACAAAAAAAACAAAAAAAAAAACAAAAACAAACAACATGGGAACACTACGGTGTCTCTTTGTATTGTTTATTGAGAACACTATGATGTCTCATTGTAACACAATTGAGAACACTGTGTCCTACTAGAACATTCATTAAGTCATGCTACCCAAGTTTAGTTTCGGTTGGGTTCTTAAGTTAGAACGTGATCATACCCGCTTGTCCACTCCTCAATCCCCTTTCTCCACCGATGGTCTCTGGTTCATTTCATTCCCCCGTGGAGCGGATAAGAGCTGTATCCAGCCCTCGCGACCAGGTGGAGAAAGGGTCTTAGAGACTGGGGCTTTACACAGGGCACTTCTCGTATTACTCGGCGTTTTGGGCGGGGAATTGCTGCCTGCGGCACCCCTTCAGCCCTGTGCTGAAGCCCCGTCAGGGAGGGGGGGCTATAGGATTTGCTGGACTTGGTTAACTTGGCCCAAGGACATTATGCCGGCCATGCGTTTTCACGCGTGAACTATGCCCCCCCTTGCAGTACAGGCATGAGGCACCCCCTCGGTATGGCGCCATGTACCGAGGCCCCTCATTCGGTCATCATCCGGTCGGTGGGTTTTATCCGAGCCTTGCGGGTATATTCCCTGCCCAACTTTGCCCACCAAAGAATATTGTGTTTTCTCTGCGTCTGCGCGCTGTAACATTAATTGATATTTTAGCATAAAATAAAGGTTAATGTTGGCAAGCAACAACTATTGAGCCTGCATCGCTACTGCGGTTTATCCCAAACACGCGATCTCCTTATTTGGCAGCCTGCCTCTTTGTCTTATTCTGCGCCAGTCCGTTCAATCGCCACTTTCTTTGAAGGCTGCAAGTTGAGCAGCACCAAGTTTTTTCCCCTCCCACCCTCCCCTTTTCTTTGTTTCTTGCCTTCCTTAACCTTCCTACATTTGTTCACTGCATTAATTTGCACTATCTCTTGTCTGTAGATTCAGAGACGTTTAATAAAATCATTAAGGGCGGGGAATTGCTGCCTGCGGCACCCCTTCAGCCCTGTGCTGAAGCCCCGTCAGGGAGGGGGGGCTATAGGATTTGCTGGACTTGGTTAACTTGGCCCAAGGACATTATGCCGGCCATGCGTTTTCACGCGTGAACTATGCCCCCCCTTGCAGTACAGGCATGAGGCACCCCCTCGGTATGGCGCCATGTACCGAGGCCCCTCATTCGGTCATCATCCGGTCGGTGGGTTTTATCCGAGCCTTGCGGGTATATTCCCTGCCCAACTTTGCCCACCAAAGAATATTGTGTTTTCTCTGCGTCTGCGCGCTGTAACATTAAATTATAAAATGAATTACATTTAACGAATTAAGGTCCAAACAGTAGGATTTCGAAGTATCGGAGAAATTTATCACACTTCTGCTAAAAAATTTGTAAGGTACTTCGACTTCTCGGCTTGTTAGCTTTCACTCGGCTCCAGCTGCTCTGCCTCTGTACGGCTCTCTTACTGCAGTAACAACCTTTGAATGCAGAGATGATCTCTCTGTCAAGTGATTTATGTGCTGAGTATTTCCGCTTCTTTGCCTTTTCTTTCGGAGTATTTCCGCTTCTTTGCCTTTTCTTTCGGAGTATTTCCGCTTCTTTGCCTTTTCTTTCGGAGTATTTCCGCTTCTTTGCCTTTTCTTTCGATTGGATGAAGCAAACGTTCTTGCCTTCTGATTGGCCCATTGCGCCAATATATGTAATTTTAGTATTGTTTGGTTAGGGTGATGCGTCGTCATATTTCACGCCTGCGACAGTATTTGTATTTGTATTTTTATATTTCGGGAGATTTTGACTTTCGGGTGCCTAAATCCTACTAAAACAATGGGAAGAATGACATGTCATTGTTTCCTGCAACCAATTAGGAGAGACCTTATGAGCAGAACAAAATTTGGTCCTTGGGAATTGGCAAAGCACAGTGAAAGCACCGTTCCGAAAATTGTAGACCGATTGCCCTTGTTGATATTAATCTTACTTCTTCCTTATCGTAACGCCTTCGCCTCGATTAATAAGAGAATCGTTTTGACACAACCTACCGTAATTTAGGTCTCGTACGATGGTTTCCGGTGGGACTACATAGAGAAAGTTCGTACTCCGAATTTAAATTTTATCGCAACTAATGACACAAAGCGAAACACCTTCTCAATACCTTTGTTACCAAGACATTCCCGAATCATTTCACGTTAGTTACAGGACTTTATGAGGAAAGCCACGGGATCGTAGCAAATACGTTTTTCGATCCTATTTTCAACGACACTTTCTACTTAGATGCCGTGTCAAAGCATTACTTGGATTCAAAATGGTGGAACGGAGAACCGGTGTGGATCACGAATCAAAAAGCTTTTAAGAAGAGTGCTGTGGTGTTTTGGCCTGGTTCAGAAGTGAAAATAGAAGGCCAGTACCCAACACACTATTTACCCTATAATCGGTCACTTTCCTTCGAGAAACGAATAGATTTAATTTATGTACAATGTTAGAGCAGGATGATCCTCCAAGCTTTTTGGCCGCTTATTTTAACGAGCCAGATCACAGTGGGCATAAATTTGGACCTAATTCACCAGAGTTTAAAACTGTTATTCGCAGAATGGATAATGTCACTGGATATCTGTTGAAAAGTTTACGAAATAGCGGATTGTTGAATGAGGTAAGAATAACAAGTAAACGATAACCACAATGATACACAAACTGCATGTGATAAGTTATGTTACGTTGTTAGGGAGCTCTCTTTTTCAGGGTGAGCAGCTAAGATGTGAGATGAGATAGTGCTTATTACACGCCAATGAGCTTGAGAAAGTAATCAAAATTATCTCCTGGCACAAAAGCCAATGCCAAAAAAAAAAAAAACCCACACTTAAGCTTAAGAGGCTAAGTTTAGGCTAAGGAATACCATTCTGCGCGAAGTGAGTGCAAGCACAAAACTTTTTTGCCAATTACTGACCAAATTTTGCATTTGGACCCCACCCCACAAACCCCCTTCACCATGCCCCTTAAGAGACCAAAATAATTCAAAAATTTCATAGCAAAATGTACTGTAGTAGTAGGGTTACCAATCCTCACGTAACTACTTGAACTGAAGAAACAACCTGAGACACAATCTCTAGTTTTTACCCCTAAACGTTTTTACAAATAGTGATCATAATTGTGAGAAATATTCATTTTACAATAACTGAGTGATTTCTTGTGCGCTGATTGATGGAGAGCGTTGTTTGATAAACGTACAGACCATGGAAATGATGTGATGGTGGCAAAATTTCTTTCTCTCTGTCTTGTGCACGTAACTTTTCAAGAAATTTCGAAGGAAATGGATGTCAAAACTGTCAATGTTATTGTAAAAAACAAATCGACAACAATTTTTCAAAGTCTCTACTGTTATCGACCATGGAAATGATGACAAAATATTCAAAACTTTGCAGTGAAACCACTCACCTGCAGCTTGTTGTCGATTTGTTAACTTCCCCAGGAGAGAGGAGAGAGGGTTTGGTCACATCACACACACACACACCCTACCCCACCCCCTGACTACTTCAAAAAAGCCTTACAACTCACCAGTAAGCAGAATAGCAAGGCCACCTTAGCAACCCGATGGACAGGAAGTTTTTGATCTTCACCCAAGTGGTAAGGAAGTCTGGTCAACCTTGCCTGTTCAGAATTATGGTCTGAAAAATGCAAATTTTCTCCATTCAAAACATGGAAACTTTTCATGATTGAGCTGTAAATACTATCCAGAAAAAGCTCCCTAATAAAACAAATTACATGTATTTACCTGATAATTGTTGCACTTCTCTCACACTGCTAAATGTCACCCGCCTAGGTCCTGTTATATAGTTAAGATAATGAGTGTATTAAAGCAAGTGACCAATACTCAAAATATTTTTCACTTTATTACCACCTGTAAAATTACCCAATTCTGTTATCTGATTTTGAAAAGTATTTGAAGTTGATAGTATGCCATGCATGTGATTAAAAGTTAACATTAATTTACTTCAAACAACGACAATGCTGGATGTCAGTCACAGGGCACCCAAACTATTAGTAAGCACTCAGTAAAATTAATCTCTCTCCAAGGCATGTGTTTTTAACTTACTTGGAATTACTTCAAAGGAACTACTAGCTACTTCAGCTGATCGGCTGGTTGAAATGTCTTCATCTGTCATTTCTTCAAAAGTTGGCTCATTCTGACAATTAACAAAAGACAGTAATGAAAACTGCAGGCCGCAGGCAAACAGAGTTTAACCATTGTTACTAAGATGAAACCGATAGTTTTCATTAATTTGTTTTACCTGGATATTTCAACACTGTTTACTGGGAGAGTATCAAGGGATGATTCCTAAACAGGCAACAAGTAGGAGCTATCATTAGGGGGGCAGCGAGTCACTTATTTTGCTATTTAATCTTTTATCTTATTAATGTATGGTTGTTATAATTTCGAGTTTTCGCACAAAATTTTATGAACTGACGGTCATCATACAAGTGAAACCTCTCTATTTCAGCATTTTATAACATAAAATTTATGAAATTTGTTAAATTTTACCTGTGGCTTCCTTTGGAAGTTTAAAAAGATGTAACTCACCATTAGTGGTCTTGGGATTGGGGTAGTTTCCCCTGAGGATGAAGGTGAGTTTAAAAGAGATGTGTGTTCACTGTCTTGATTTACAGCAGATACCAAGACCTGAAAAAAAAATGTCCAGACAAAATGCTACAGCAATTCACCCAGTTTTCTAACCCCTGGGAAAGGAAAATTGTTTCATATTTGGGGGAGCTTTAAAAATTTTAGGGTAGGATTACAGATTTTGACCGAGAAAAAGAAGTGGGTTTTAGATTTTATAATAGATAGGTCAAAAACAGGAGGCAATTCAATATAAGGAATCAGCTGCATTTTCAAGTGAAAAAAAATAAGAGATGCCGATAGAAAGCCCTAAGTGACCTTGAATTAACTGACAGATTCTCTATATTGTATATGAACTTTAATGTGGTGTCCCCCCTAAATATAAAAAAAAATATTTTGAAAGTTTAATTTGTCAATTTGCACATCACCCAAAATAAACCTTATTTAATCCCCCCACCTCCCCCCCAAAAATTGCACACCCTTTGTTTCAATTTCCACCTGGGTATTACAGTCATCTCACAAGAAGTTGGAAAAATTACAAAAATTTCAAAAATTGGGAGATAAACAAGGTGTTTTATGGGAGCTGTGCAGATATCAAATAATAATCTAAGGATCTGCATAAAGATCATAATGTTCTTTCTTGTGACTTACATTTGAGGATGTTTCATTCTTTAAGCATGCAATACATTGAAGCCTCCATGGCTCATAAAAAAGAAATCCAGTCAAATATATCATAAATGATGATGTCTTAAAGAATGTGGTGAAAAAAGGCTTGTCAGATGTAAGTATAACAGAAAACTAAATTCATAACTTTGTGTAAACCATAAAAAGCAGTGAGAATGTTGATTAAGACATACAACGGCTCTTTTCAGAGCCACCCTGGTTCTTTTCAGAACTACCAAATCTATAAAAGTCAATGACCAACAACAAGTGTCTTTTTCTTGTGTTTTTTAAACTGTAAGTTCTTCTCAAATTTTGATCTTAAGATTTTGTTACGTGAAAATACTTGGCTATAAGACGCACCCCAATTTTAGCACTAACTTGCCACCCAAAGACAGATTTTTCTTGAAAAAACCGTGCGCCTTATAACCGAATAACTACAGTAAACAAGATTGTAATCATTATGGACTTACTGAATATCTGGGCAACATGGATTTTTGACGGATATGAGGAAGTGAAAGAATCTTTAACTCACACATTCCACTTCTTATTTACACAACCCTGCGATGCCAGCGATGGTAGCTATTTACTGTCTAGTGGAAAGCAAACTTTTGTTTTCATTAAAGCTGTGTCAAAAATTTGTTCAGAGCAGTGCCAGATCCAGACCTTGAGATAACAGGGACCTGGTCATCCAGACTCTTAGATAGGGGGGTAGGGCCAGTCTCCAAAAACATTTTTTTCAGGACTTTGGGCCTCAGTTTGGTCTGAAAATACCACTGCAGAGGGGTCAGATTTGTTTTTGGGAAGGTAGAGAGGTTGTGTGGTTGGTAGCCTGTATTGAAGACAAACTCTAACCCCAACCGACTCAATAAATAGTGGGACATGGATTATTTATCAGTTATTTGCACAGTCCCACCAGTTTCTTGCCATTCTGTTTATTAGGCAAACCATTAGAAAAGCTATGGGAGGAAGTGTGGAGAGGGAGGGACAAGTACACACACACACAAAATTAATGCAAGGGAAAAATAACTAAAGAAAATTGGACATGTTAACAAAAACATTCATGCAGCTTTTCTAATAAAATTAATGGTCCACCCCTGATAACCACATCAGCTGGTTTACATGCAATGACATCATGGTAAACATTTTGGTAGTCAGTAATGAGAGCATTTCTCTCTACTAGAAACTTTAAACCCTGTTCTCAGACAAATTCTGTGTAAAAAAATAAGTGTATTTTGTATTGATCACCAAAATAGCAACCTTGCCAGATGATATGGTTGCAAACGAAGAATATCAGATGATAATTACATTTATTAATTTTTATTGCAATGTTCTGATGAAAAGGTTTGCTTTTAAATATTTGGTGGTAATTTTTGTACGCTATCTAGTAACAAATTATTGATAATTAGTAGTAAATTTGTTCTCACATCTGTCAGTTCTGACGAGCCAACCCAAAGAACGTCCACCAGCAGTAAAACAACAATCCCCAACAACAAGCGTCGTCTCCGCTTAACACTCTCATCCTGTGACACAATAAACTGCACTGTTGAAGTCCACATCGAACGGAAGCAGCTACAAAGACGACTGCTACTTGTAGAAGACATGATTCTTCTTTAGTTTTTATAAAACTAAAGCAAGCTTACACTAGCTTTCGCTGTGATTTAACCCACAGACGAAGATGTTTCATCTGATGGTACCATGACACTGTATAAAGACAAAGATGAGTTGAGTACAAAAACAACACATTATTATGACCGCGATTATAGGAAAAACGCGTTACTGAAGAATCAAAATCTAAAAATAAAAATACAACTGACCTTCTCGTGACATGGCCGCCATCTTGGATTACCGTTGTTAAACGCGGGCTCATTTCACAGGCTCCCCAAGCTTTATCATTTTGATTTTCGAGATTTTTTCCCTCTCTGTTTTGAGTTTCAGACTTCTATTCAATGCACAAGAACAGCGAGTAAAAACGCCCAGAGGAAAAGAAATACTCAGAGGCACGTTTGAACAGCTAGCACGACAGCCCAACACCCAAAAAATGTATTGCTTCCAGGTTCCTTACATTATGCAATCAAATGATCAAAAAAATAATGCGCAACGTTTCGCGTTTGCTTTATTGATTTTATACAGTACAACCGATACTACTCAATAGCTGAGCATTTTAACTCTCTTTTTAACTTAACGAAAGCATTTTCCTTCGCATAAAATAGGGATGGCCAAAGAAAACAAAGCTTAAGTTTAGTCTTTAAAGGGAATTTATTATTCTATGAATCATCTCCATCAAACCTACCCTGCGAGCAGAGTCTCTTTCGATCTTCCCAGGAGACTCTGCTCGCAGGGTACATCAAACCTTTTGGCAATAGAGAATATCTCCACGGCAAGCACCACTACCTCGAGGCGAAAGCGCCCTTTCAACTCCTTTATTGCAACATAAACTGACAGGTGCCGATGTTTTTAAAATGACGTAACATTTCTAGAAAACTTTTCTCCACCCGCTTCTTAATATTTAAAGCTATACACTAAATGACTACATTGCGGAATATAAGTTTTCACTGAGAAAATAACTGGAAAATTCCACCACTGTCTCTGATACTCTACACTACCTACTCAAACCTCCGGTCTAGTTTTGTGGTCCCGCAAAAATAACGATATTCGATTTTCTAGCGTTACATCTAAAAGAAATAGACTATACGGTAAATCCATTCGGCTTAGACTAAAACAATGATTTTCCTCTCACACGATAAAGAACGGGCAAACATTACCAAGGCTGTAATAGCGACAATGCTGCAAAATTATATTTATTGAAGGTATTTGCATGTGCAGCATTTAACTGTTCGAATATTTACGTCGCGGAAACTGGTAACAATATCTGGGGCCAAGTAACACACCCTCTCCCTGTGTAGGAAACTCACAACTACAGTAAGCGTAAACATGTGTACTGAAGAATACGAACTTTTTCCTCAAATTTTCAATAAAAACGCTTGTATTAAGCAGACATCTCTTTCGAGCGGACATCCGAAGCTATTGAGGTCGGTATTCTCTTTATAGGCTTTTAAACCCTAATATAAAAAAATGTAAGTCCTCATTTGTTGTCCGTTGTACATTTCCAAAATGTATGAAGTGGGATCGAGACCGTTGAGGAAATCCAACTTGTTCGGTGATGTTTTTATCGATTTCCCTCGGTTTTATGAAACACTTACATTGAAAGGAGAAATTTGATGCTGATTACTCTTAGCAGAAGCCTATAACTGACTCCTGTCGGCTTAAAGGGTTAATATAGGTTTCACTGAGGTTTATATCAGTATGCAAAAAGAAAAGCATTGAGTAAAATGGTAAAAAAAATCCCCAAAACAAATTATAAACCTATCTAAGACCTAATGCGAAGTTAACGGCTATATATTTTAATTTATACTAACATTTCTGTATAAAAACGGCATTACTGCCAGAAGTAATGATTATCATTGAAGCTCTTTTGCAGTTTTTTTACTTGGATGTATTTTGATTCATAAGTGTGAAAATCATTTTATGGAGTTTTTACGGCCTAT